GGGCTGTGCTAAGACTCTGGAAACACAAGAGCACCTGTGTCCTCACATCATCACCAAGATGGGAACTATTGTCCTTGAGTGAGATATGAGCCTTGTCAGTTGACCTCAAGGAATCACATTCCCAGCCTGAGGGCACATGGGCCTCCTGCCATGTGGAGGACAAGGCAGAACATTCCAGAAGGAGACCTCAGCCTGCACAAAAGCTGAGAGGGAGATGGTGGGAGGTGGGGGGAGCAGGACAAGGTGTGGGCCTACTTTAGGTCCCCTGGATGGAAATGCACCACCCCTCAGGGGCAACAGAGCCAGGAGGGGGGCCAGGCTGAAGCCTGTTTCTAGGCTCTGGCCCCATCTGTCAAAACAGGGCTGAAGCCATATTGGCTGCCTCGTGTGCTCTCTGAGCACAGCTGCTCCAGTGACGGGTGGGAGCCAGATGGCAGAGGCTGTGGGTCTGGCTCGCAGGGCCTGGAAGGCACAAGGGGCCTGAGAATCCCTGCTACCATAGTGGGAGCTCTCTAGTCACAGGTTTGCCTGTGATGAAGGTTAGCCCTGCAGGAAGACTGTGCTGAGGGGCTGAGGCGTGATGGCTGGCACAACCTCCATGACTCATGGTGGCCACTTCTTAGCTCCCTGGCAGTCTCCATGTGGCTCTGGGGATCACCAGAACCTCCTCAACTAGAGCACAAGCCCCAGGCCAGGAGCAGCCTCTTCTGGCCTTGCTCCGTGGATGGGGATCAGGAAAGCCACACTGGTCCAGGCCGAATAAGGACTTGAATGGCGACCTGAAGCCAGATGATAGAACCAGAGAAAGTGAACTTCAGCAAGAGGTATTTTAGTTAGACACAAGGAAGCACTGGCCTCGGAGACTGAAGGGAGTACAAGCTATTTCTGGGGAAATAGAGGGATCCCTCCTTCTGTTGTCGACAATCTGCCTCTCTGGAAAAAGTACAGTGGGAACTTCTCTCTCCTCTTCCTTCACTAGCTCCTCCATCATCTCTCACCTACATTTTCATTTTATCTGTCCTTTCCTGCCTGCCTCCACTTCTGCCTTCATTGTCTGAGTGGGCCTGGCTTATCATAGTGTCACTGGGAGCCTTTGAGTGGGGACACAATTTAGCCAGTGTTCGCTGAGTCCCAGACCTGCTGGAGGTGAAGGAGCCCAGGCCCTGCCAGAGTACCTCCAGCCGGGTAGAGACGCCAGACAGTAAAACCAGTGCCTACACCCGAGGCAGAGTAAGAGCCACATGCGGAGAAAGGAACAAGCCAAGTTGTGGGGCTCAGAGACCGCAGCCCCAGGGGTCAGGGAAGGCCTCAGAGAGGTGGCATTTGGAGAGTGGGTGGATTTCCATACTGACAGAAACCAGTGAGAACCAGGATAGTCTGGGCAGAGACAAATGAGAGGAAGAGGGAAACAGAGTGTGGACTATTCCAGAAACGCAGGAAGACTAGCTTGGCTGAAGAGGTGGGGTGAGCCGGGTCTGGGAAGATTAACAGGTCATGAGGCCCTGAATCTCGGTTGAATGAATTTGCGCTTAATTGTAGGCAGTGAGAAGCTACTGAAGGTTTTGGAGGAAGGGCATGACATTTTCTGGGCTGGGACTAGAAGAGCATCTAGATTTTGCTCCTATTCCAGGATCTCATGAAAGGTACTTGGCCTTGATTCTGAGCCCCTGGGCCTCTCAGGAATCCCCAAAGGGAGCAAACAATCTGTGTGTCTCAAATGTTGCCTTTCCTGTGAGGTGTGTCCTGACCACCCTATTAAATAACACAGCTCCTCTGGCATTCCTGATTCCCCTCCCTTTCCTTCTCTGTGTTTCCCCCCACTGCCATTGCTTTTATCTCCTTCTAACATACTTCATCCATAGTTTACACTGTTTATTATCTGCCCCATTTGAATAAAAGCCCCCTGAGGGCAGGGTTGTGTTTGTTTTACTTGCTGCTGCCTAGTCCAGTGCTTGGAATCCCAACAGATTCATTCATTTGTCAAGTGGATAAAGAGAAAAATACTGGCCGGGCGGGGTGGCTCAGGGCGGTAATCCCAGCACTTTGGGAGGCCGAGGCAGGTAGATCATGAGGTCAGGAAATCGAGACCATCCTGGCCATGGTAAAACCCGGTCTCTACTAAAAATACAAAAAAATTAGCTAGATGTGGTGGTGGGCACCTGTAATCCCAGCTACTCAGGAGGCTGAGGCAGGGAAATTGTTTGAACCTGGGAGACAGAGGTAACAGTGAGCCGAGATGGTGCCACTGCACTCCAGCCTCGACGACAGAGCAAGACTCCGTTAAAAAAAAATAAAAGAGAGAAAAATACCACCTTGTGGGAACTAGCATGCTCAGGTTTGCCCCTTCCCTGTCCCCTCACTCCTGGCTTCCTGGGCTTGGCAGCACGGAGCCTCCAAGTGGAAGAATCTCCGAGAAAAGCATGCAGAGCTGTGCTGCTTCCCTCCTGCACTTCCCACCCTTACCAGGACTCTGGAAATATTTGAACTGTTTCCTGCTCCTGCCAAAAACCACCACTGCTTTCCTTTATCGCAGAGCAGAGGACAGGCAGGGACAATTTCACCTAAGGAAAGCTACAAGTTTGCAGGACTGAAACAGTTCCACTGAGCAGTCTGGAGAATAACTTAGATGATCTGATCAGAATCGTCGCAAATTCCCAAGTGCCCACTCCACACATGCAGTGGCTCTGGGCATTTTGCTCCATTTTGCCCTTACCCCGACTCTATGAAGTGGGTGTTATTCTCTTCATTTTACAGATGGGAAAATACATAAATTCATTGACGTGGTGGCAGAGTTCTCTCCACCAGATGAGGAGGCTGGTCTCAAATGCTGTTCTGTCCTGTCCCAGCCCAGGGCTTGTTTCTCCATAGTGTGTGGCCTTTCTTCTGCCAGAGCAGCAGATGAGATGCAGGACGGAGCTAGCTGAGTTCTGTGTCCAAGATACCAGATCATGGGTAGTCTCTGCTGGCCGCAGGCTTCCCGCCTGAGCCATGGGAGCCAAAGTTTTGGCCACGGTCCCGTGATGAATGAGGACAATGATGTCACATCTGCTGCCTGGCCTGAACTCATCAGAGAGTACACATTATAACCGTGGTCACTGCCTGTCTGGGCAATGGCCAGGCGTCCTCTTTTGACTCTGGTGTGTACCAAGTCTGGAGCCCAAAATAGGGCTCACTGCATTTGCAGGGTGGATCCAAGGGAAACCACCCCTAGCCTTGTGTGCGGGTCCAGAGCCCTATATCCAGGTCTGCTCCTGGCCAGGCTATGGTCGGGGAGGCAGAAGAGCTTGGATCAAGCCCCTCGAGATGGGCTGTAGGTGACTGCAGTTCCATTCCTTAGGGACTCAGTTCACCCACCCTGAGGGTAGAAACCCTCTCCCAGCAAACATTACTGATTCCTTATTACATGCAAGGTAAACAGTATTTGTCTCTGCCTTCAAGCCCTTCAACTGAAGTTAGAGCACAGTCATTAACTAGGCAATGGGGAGCCATGGATGGTTGTAGAGCCAGGGAATTGGATGACTGCACTGTGCCTTAGGGAGGCTGATCTGGCAGCAGACTATGGCTGAGAGAGAACAGACTTTTGCAATGATCAGATCAAATGTGTTAAGCACTTACTGGGTGCTAGATGTTGTTTCAAGCACTTCACAGATATTACCGTAGTTAATCTTCACCCTAGGGTGCTATTGTTAACCCCACTGCACAGATGAAGAGACAGAAGTACATATTGATGACAAGGCCAGTAGGTGGTTGAGCTGGGATGTGAACCCACCTGGCTCCACCGCTGCGTCTCCATCTCCCAGTTATCTTGAACAAGGGTCTGGCATACGGCTGGGGTCATGGGGATGGCCAGAGGAAAAGAAGCAAAACACTGCCTGTGGCTAAGGCCCCCTGCCCTGGAGGGGTCTCCCGATAAAGGACCAGGAAATTATAGAGGGGACAACGTAAAGAACTATATCTAAGATTACTTTTATCAATAACAGCAACAATCACAGTGTTCTTGGCCAGCAGCCCATGCAGAATAACATCTTTCATGTAAGAGAGATTTGAGACACTCTCAAAGAGGGAAATCTTATCACTGTTAGAGCTTCCTCTGGAAAGCTTCCTGGACTCTCTCAACCTTCCTCAAAGGTTTATTTGTTAATGTATTTACTTACTTAAATAGGGAAAAGCCTCACTTAGATGCTAACCTAGCTTCAATACCTTCTGGCTTGGGATGTCCAGCCACTCTCAATGTCTCTTTTGCAAAGGCAGAGGAGTTGCTGGGAAGGTGGAAGGAGAGGAAGAAGAGCATGGGGCACAGGCTGGGCTGGGAGGCAAGGGGAGGCCGCTGAGCCCAGGAAGGGCTGTCCAAAGCCAAAGGGGTTCCCGTGCTGTTTTGACAAGATTACACCTGTTTCCTCTGAGATGTTCAACCACAACACTGGAAAGTACACTACTGATGTAAGTAATGCTTGAGAAGTAAAAAGAGATTGCGGTTGGATTCTACCGCTAAGATCCTCAGCTCTAGCAGTCTATGAAGATACCATCTGTCTTAATCCCTTCCTAGAGGAAAAAGTGTCAAGAGTTAGGGAACTCCTGGAAGAGCCGTTTCTGGCCAGATTCTGGGCTTGCCTCAATACAGAAATTCATTGACATAGCGTCAATAAAAGTCAGCTGGGCAAGAACCACCAGGGGGCCCAGCTAGCAGCTCAGCCCCGGGGGCATTTTCAGGGGGCAGAGGACAACCTAACCAAAGCCGGAGCATCTTCTGCCCCTTCCCAGGTCTCATGAGCAGGGTCACCTGGGACGGTGCCCTTCGGAAGGGGGTTAGGCTTTACCTGTCCCCCGTCCTGGCAGGTTGTGGGTTTAGGAAAGCTTAGGGAGGGCCTTTGCCCAAGTGCTGGCTGGAGAGCTGCAGGCCATGGGATGGCCAGGGTGGCCACATTTCCCAGGCTCAAGGTGGGGAGCTGGAACTAGGGCTTGGCCATGATGGGTGGTGGGATGATGCCAGGGGCACCTACCTGGAGCAGCAGCTGAGGTTCAGGGCTTGGGCCCTACGTGGCCTCTGGGCTGTTACAGGACCTTCCCTCCTCTTGATCAGTCCCCAGGAAAAGGTGCTTCTGAGTGTCCCCACTCGATTCCTGACCCCGAGGGAGGCTCCTCCAAGACTCTATGGCACAGGGACAAGAGAACCCTCTCAGTGCAGGTGGGCATGCATCCCAGTCCTCCCTGGCTTCCTCGCAGCTCCTCCCCAAGCCCAAGCTGGCCAAGCCCCTCCCAGCTCCAACATGCTTGTCAGTATCTCCCACAAGGCTTGCCTTGGGGAGTTCTGATGGGGTGAGAGGTACCCCAGATGCACCCACAACCCCCACCCTGCCCCAGCTCCAAATCCAGGCCAGCCAGTGCCCACCACTGGGGGTGGGTGAGCTGGGAGCGACCATTCATCCCAGGTGAGTAGCAGCTGTGGGGAGAGCACTATACTGGGAGTCCAGGCACCAGCTCTGTCACTTCCCCTGCTGAGTTGGAGCACCCCACTTTCCCTTACTGGCGTGGTTCAGCCTAAAGGCACAGACAATGCCAGCAGGGCTGAGCTGGGGGAGGCCAAAGGGGTCACAGACATCACCTACTTCAGAATCATCTGTCGGGGAAGGCTTGCTAAAATGCAGGTGGAAGGGCCCTACCTTGATCCACTGAATTTGAATCTCCGGGCGGGTGTTTGGGAACCTGCATTTTAACAAGTTCCTCACATGGGTGCCTATGAAGTAAGACTCAGTGCACTGACGACACACTGGAAAAGGGCAGTCGAGCCCAAGTATATCCGCATAAAGGAGTCGTCGGTCCCTTTTCTGAAAGCAGCATCACAGGAGCCCAATCTCTGCAGCCAGGGAGCCCCGGCAGCTTGCTAAATCCTCTCTAGCTCTCATTTTCCTCATGGACAAAATAAAGATTGCAGGTGATCTCTTGGGCCCGTCCACATTTGAAATTGTGAATGCAGGAAGAGGTGAACCCACTGAGAAACGAATTTAAAAACAAAGTTCAGGGTGAGGCAATTTAACTGGTATTCTCCCCCTTCTAATTTGTTTCTTCTTAAATATTCCTGTTTTGTTTTGTTTTGTTTGAGATGGGGTCTCACTATGTTGTCCAGGCTGGTCTCCAACGCCTGGGCTCAACTGATCCTCCCACCTCCACCTGCTGGGTAGCAGGGATTACAGACACATGCCGCCATGCTCGGCTTTCAATTTGCTCTTTAAATTCTGAAAATAACATGCTTAGGAAAAAAATCAAACCATTCAAAATAATACACAGTGAAAATGAAATCTCGGCTGGGCATGGTGACTCACACGTATAATCCTAGCACTTTGGGAGGCCAAGGTGGGAGGTTCACTTGAGCCCATGAGACCAGACTTAGCAACATGGCAAAACCCTGGTTCCACAAAAAGTATAAAAAAAAAAAAATTAGCTGGGTGTGGTGCTGTCGGCTTATAGTCTCGGCTACTCGGGAAACTGAGGTGGGTGGATTGCTTAAACCCAGCAGGTCAAGGCTGCAGTTAGTCATGAGAGTGCCACTGCACTCCAGAGCGTGTGACAGAGCAAGAGCCTGTCTCTAAAAAAAAAAGAAAGAGAAAAGATATATAGCATGGATGTCCCTGCCATCTCAGACCTATGCCCCACTCTCCAAAAGAAATATCATCAAGTTTCCTAAATTTTCCTTGAGAATTTTTTTCAGAAATGTGGACACACACATACACACACACATACATACATATGTATAGATATATATATCTCTCTATGCCTGCATCTTTATTTTAAACCCAACCAGGAACATATTCCCAGTACTTATATTTGCTTTGCTAATTAACATACATCACACATCTCTGCATACAGCACAGACAGATCCCTCCATTCTTTTAATAGCTCATAGTGTTCCACTGAACCAATGCACTACAATTTCTGTGAATCTGTCCTTGTTGATTGATATTTAGGTTATTTCTACATTTTTTGCTGCACAAACAAAGCGGTAACGAACATCTTTGTGTTTCCTCGTTTGTTTGTTTTGAGTCAGCGTCATACTCTGCTGCCCAGGCTGGAGTACAGTGGTATGATCCCAGCTCACTGCAGCCTCAACCTCCTGGGCCCAAGTGATCCTTCCACCCCTGCCTCTCAAGTAGCTGGGACCACAGGTGCCCACCACCATGCCTTGCTAATTTTTTTAGTTTTTGTAGAGATGAAGTCTTATTTTATTCCCTAGGCTGGTCTCAAACTCCTGGGCTTAGGTGATCCGCCTGCCTCAGCCTCCCAAAGTGCTGGGATTACAGCCGTGAGCTTTAGAGACAGGGTTTCTCCATGTTGATCAGGCTGGTCTTGAACTCCCGACCTCAGGTGATCCACCTGCCTTGGCCTCCCAAAGTGCTGGGATTATAGGCATGAGCCACCGTGCCCGGCCTGACTCTGTATCTTTGTGCACATATATGAGGCCAGCTAGAGGATATCCCTGGGTCAAAACTTACGTGAACCTAGCAATTCTGGTAGATATTGTCAAATTGCCCTGCAATGAGGGTGAACCTGTTAGCTCTGCCCCAGCAACTCGTGAGGGTGCCTGTTTTTCTCCACCCTCACACAGTGTGATTATCAGACTGTTAGGTTTTGACAGTGAGTTTTAAAATGGTATCTTGTTTCAATTTGTAATTCAGTTGTCGAAAAGGACAGACATGTTTTCATGTTTATTGACTGACTGGCCTTTGCACTTATTTTTCCGTGAATTGTCTGCTTCTGTCCTTTCTAATTTGTCTTATTGATTTTTTAAGTTTTTCTAAATTATGGCAATTAACTTCTTGTCATGTGTATTGCAAACTGTCATTCATCTCCTTTGACTTTATTTTCGGCAGCCTTTGGACTTGCTTAAAAAGCCTTTCCCATTTGAGAATCATGAAAGTATTTGTCCATCTTTTCCACTTGTATTGTTGAAGGTTTCTTCTACTTCTTCTTCTCCTTCTCCTTCTTCCTTTTCCTCCTCTTCTTCTTCTCCTTCTTCCTCCTCTTCCTCTTTCATCTTCGTCGTATTCTTTTTTGAGACAGGGTCTCACTCTATGGCCCAGGCTGGAGTACAGTGACACAATCATAGCTCACTGTGGCCTTGGACTCCTGGGCTCAAGTGACTCTCTTGCCTCAGCCACCCAAGTAGCTGCAACTACAGGCACGCATTACCACGCTGGGCTTTTTTCTTTCTTTTTAAAATATCTTTACCCCCTCTAGAATTTATTTTGGTGTCGGGATTGTGGTAGGACACAGCTTTATTATTTTTTTCAGAGAGCTACACAGTTGTCCTAAAGTCATGTTTGAATAATCCATTTCCTGCTCCCAACCCAAAATCCTCCCTCTAAATTCAAAATCCCAATTTGACCATGTAGAAGGATGGAAACAAAGAGCATGAACTCAGAGTCAAGTGCTTGCGTCAAATTTCCACTCTACTGGACCTTGTTAAGAAGTTTTTCTAAACTAAGGCAATTAGCTTCTTGTCATTTGTATTCCTAATTGTCATTCCTCTCTTTTGCCTACCCTTTCCGTGCCTCAGGTGCCTCATCTGAAAATGGAGGTAACAAGAATGCCAACTGCATGGAGTTATTATGGAGATTAAATGAGTTATTGCAGCTAAAGCGTATAGAAAGATACAAGTAATATACGCTGCCCGCAAGAGGCTCACCTTAGATGTAAAGGCTCACATAGGTGGAAAGTGAAAGGATGAAAAAAGTTATGCCATGCAAATGTCACCAAAAGAAAGCAAGGACGGCCATATTTATGCCAGTCAAAAGCTGCCATGAAAGACAAAGGAGACTACTACACAATGATAAAGGGTCAATTCACCAGGAATATATAACAATTATAAACATATATGCACCTAACAGCAGAGCACCCAAATATACGAAGCAATATTGACAAATAATAATTGGAGATTTCAGTTCTCCTTTCAATAATGGATAGAACAACCAGGCAGAAGATCAATAAGAAAATGGAGAACTTGAACAATACTACAGTCCAATCTGACCTAACAGGCATATGCAAAAGACTCCTCCAAACAGCAGCAGAATATACGTGATCTCAAGCACATACGGAACATTCTCCAGGATAGATCACAGGTACAGGATAGATCCTTTACCTGTAGATTAAGCTAGATGCTTTACCTGTAGATTAGTCTACAGGTAAAGGACAGTGGCCACGCAGGGGACCTACTATATGATGGCGATTACTTTTATTATTATTGCATATTAAGTGCGCTTTGTTTATCAATCTGTGAAGCAGTTCCATCATTTGACAAATATCTATTACTATGTGTCAGGCCCTGTTCCAAGTGCCAGGGAATCAAGAATGAAGGAGCAGTCTTAAGAGCGGCTCCTGCCACCTCTAGTTAGGCTTAGTACTGGTTATTTTAGTACTTACTACTAATATTTAAATCTCTTCCATTATATTTAAAAAGAGGCTAATGCTTACATACAGACAAGCTATACATTTTTGTTTCTAAAAGTTATTACTGATCATGTTGGTATATTCTTTTATTATTTCTATTTTTTTTTCAGTTGACAATTTTGTTATTTTTTCTCTAGGTGGTCAATCTTATTGCCTACAATTTTGATAAATTTAGCACTTTTATAACATATATTTTCAAAATTTGTGTTGGCTTGTACTTATAGAGCAGTGTTAAAGAATTACAGTAGTAGTGATCATTCTTTCCTTGTGTGTCTGAATACACATGCACACACAAACACACACAGGCATACACAAAATCATGTTAAGCAATATCCATCTATTCCTATGAAATAAGAGTGAAAATCAGAGACATGTTGAATTTTTTCAAATGCATTTTAGACATTTTTTTGCACTTATGAAGTTGCTTGTATGATTTTTTTTTAGAGGCAGGGTTTCACTGTGTTGGCCAGGCTGGTCTCGAACTCCTGACCTCAAGTGATCCACCCGCCTCGGCCTCCCAAAGTGCTGGGATTACAGGCATAAGCCACTTTGCCCGGCAGCTTATATGACTTTTTATTTCTTTTGAGCTTTTAGTTCAAAAGAGCTGTTAATTACATTAACAGTTTTTCCCTGTGGAGTCTATATTTGTGGAATAAAGCCCCACTTGCTTGTGGTATGTTCATTTTTTAACAGAATGCTATGTGAGTG